CCACTACACCACACTGGCTAGATAGATAGATAGATAGATAGATAGATAGATAGATAGATAGATAGATAGATAGATATAGACAGACAGACAGACAGACAGACAGACAGACGATACCCTAATTTTTCTCCCCAACAGGGACTCCAAAGCAGTTTACATTCTCCCCTTCCGCCATTTTATATTTGCAGTAACAACGGCCCAGTGAGGTAGACTGGACTGAAAGAGAGTGACTGGCCAAAGATCACTATGGAAGTTTCCATGACAGAGTGTGGATTCAAATCTGCGTCTCCCAAATCCTGTCAAAACACTGTAACTGCTAGGCCACACTGGCTGTTACTCAGGGCTCCACCATCTAGCCCCCCCCCCCGAAAACAAGTACCCGTGGCAAGTAGGAAATTGTGAAGGAGGAAGAGATGAGGAGCAGGGGAGTGCCCCTTAGCCTCTCCTTCCTTCCTGCTTCTCCTGTTCCCTACCTGGGGTGTCCTTCCATCACCCACTGCTTCTCCCCTCCCAGTTGCACTCATTCACCACCATATCTGCATATGTTAAATGGAAATATAGGTTCCCAGTCTAGTTTGGCCCAGAGGACTGGTTCACACATGCGCATTTCATCACTCGTGACCTGATTGCTCAATGCTTGACCAGAAGCTACGTAGGTGGACTTCACTGAGAAGTCAGCAGGGGAGCCAAAGCCGTCTCTGGGGTGCTTAACCTGTGTGACAGCTCATTCACACCCCAAGCTACCATTTGATGCTGCACTCCTCTAAAACCAAACACGCATGTGTGAACCAGCCCTATGTCATGAAGCTGTAGGAACTTCAGAAGGTGCCTGGCAGTGGAGATTCCAAACCAAGGTTAGTGGAAGAGTTAGGCAAGGGTGGTGGTTTTTTGCATGCTTGTAATTAATCCGGATTAAAAGGGGGGAGATCTGATAAACACTTCCTGGTGTGCAGAATGCAGCTGGCATTCCTCTTAACTGTACAACTAATAACATGCAGGGTTAAGGGCCTCTTATGCAGGGTCTCTTCCTGCCCCCCTCTCATTGTGCCTTTTCAAACTAAACTGGCCTATCTTGGACAGAGGCTGTAGAAACAGCACAGTGGTTTAAAACCAATCAAAATTCACTTTTACCTACAAATGAAAAACGTTCTGCTGTCCTGTGGAACTGACTGCCACAAGCAAGGCTCCCTCTAAGCTGTGGAGTCCTATGAGCAAAAATTCTACTTGGTGAGCTCCTGGCATTAAAGTTGTGAGTGAGCAATTTGGCTGCTGCATGAATTAGTTTGCTCTGAAGCCCTCCTTCCTGAGCTAAGACAAAAATCTGTGAGCCGGAGGCTAAAAAACTGTGAGCTAGCTCACACTAACTCAGCTTAGAGGGAACACTGGCCACAAGCTGCCTGGGTAGATTTATCTATGGGCAGCAGAACCATCACTGCATGTCTTAGTGTCTGGGGCATCTATAGTTACCTTTTAACATGTGTTGAGGACAGCTAGCACAGGGATCTGCAACCTGTGGGTCCAGAGCCAAACGTGGGCCAGTAGGGACAAATACACAGCTTTTAAAAAAAATAAATAAAATTAAGCCTTTACCTTAAGGTACATTGGAGGAATAGGTGGAATACTAGAATAACCAGTTTATAAAGGGAATGGGCAGGCAAAAAAGGTGCTTTTTAGAGAAAGGGAAATGGCAGAAGCAAACAGTTGCCAGAAATCCATGTGCAAACCATGCACAGATTTATGGCAGTACACTAAAACAACTGAGTAGGCTGTTCATGCATACATTTCTTTCTGTGAGACCCTGCATGCATCCCTTCCTAATAAAGCGCTTGCAACAACTAGGGTTTTGGCTGCAAGAAATACTATAGATTATTAATCAACATGTCCATTATCAGCAATGCTAAATGGTGTACCTTCAGGTATGCAAACGGACTTTCCCGTACTGGCTCTTTGTCAATCTCTTGATCTGAATTTTGATACAGTTTGCCCATTTAACTGGAAAAAAGCTTGCTGACCCTTGAGCTAGTACGCTCAAGCCAGGCCTCATCTTTAGAGCTGGCTCTCAAACACTAAGGGCTCATGGCAGAATATGTGAATTTGAAGTAACTATAAATGGTTCCTTATCGTGTTCAGTTGTGACTCAAAGGAAGGAAGCGCACACACACCTGAATTTACAGAGCAGAAACCTGGATTTCCCAAAATAGACTACTCTGTAGCAGTGGGTGGATTCACTCTAGAAATTCTCAATTAGCTTCCTTCACCACAAGGAAGCATTTCCCTAAAACCATCTCCTTCTGTGCCAGACTAATTACTTTTGAATTTAACTCCCCCCCTCAAGTAAACAGAAGAGCTTCAATCCCATAATTGGAGTCACTTACACAGATTAGAATCTCTGCTGATTACTTCTAAAGTGCATTTCAGAGACCCCTTTGTGAATCTTGGCCAGCTTTTAGAAAACCTCAGAGATTCTTTCATTCAGACGGGTCGCAAACACGAGCTTCCCCTCCGCCTTCTCAGGCACAAGTTACAGGATTGGCATCACAAGTCCACCTGGACATTTTAGCCAAATTAATTAACCTTCAACTGATCCCAATCTTCCACAGATTAGACTCGCTAACTGCACCCCCCCCCCCAAAAAAAAGATAACCTAAACAGCATACCAATCAGTCTTAAAACAGGCAATATTCGTGGGAAGGTCTCCTGTGGCAGTCTGGCTGGAGGGAGATCTCCCTGGTGGACAGGGCCTTGTTTGTGAACAAAAGGACTCTTCAAAGGGGTAAGAGGTTTCCCAATGGAGCACTGGCCAGCTGGAAAAAAATTTTTTATTCCACTTCTCAACTCTACTTATGCTAAGATTCTGGAGAGTCTCCAGGAGAAAAAAGAGATTGTGAATGAAAAACCACTCTGGATGACAACTCTCTCTCTCTGTGCCCTTGATAGTCCTTGGTCCCCTGCCTGGCAATGCCAAGTGGACACCCCCAAGAATTGTCACAGACTGAGGGGTATGAAGGAGCAGCTGATCTACATTATTTGATCCTGTGAACATCAACACAGCAGCCAGTGGGAAAGGATAGTACCTTGGATTGATTAACTAAATTAGTAGCCCTGTGTACAAGGTAAGTGTTCATCACCTAAAGGAAACAATATCTGGTTTGCTTTCTCCGATCGGCTTCCCAGATCTGAGTTTCCATCCTACACGGGATTTGTGGACCTCCATCAGCCTGAGTATTTAGGCCAACTCTTAATGTATGCAAAAAAACGGGGGGGGGGGGATAAGCCTAAACCTGCCCTTAAAGCAGTCTCTGCTCTAAAAGCTAGATGCTTGCAGGCAGACAAACATTTCTGGATGGCAAAAGAGCCTTCTGTACATGCTCAAGGGAGTTCAGTTACTGATATCTTGCAAGCGTTTTAACTACAAGGGTGGACGCTGGACAGATTCGGAGCCCAGCCTGACCTGCAAAGGAGCTCTGACACAGATTTCAGGGTCTTCTGGCACACAATAGCCGTGGTGGGCAGCCGTGGGCACCTTCTCGTGTGCGCGCGCGCGCGCCGCCCTTGTGCTGCTGAGCTCAGCTTTCAAGGCAGGTTTTGTGCGGTGCGCGCGCTGCAGTGCACCGTCTTGCCGGTCATTTTTTTTTTAGGGGGGGGGGGGATTGCTGTCACGTTGCAACGTGCATCGTAATGTGTCAAGATGCGCGCCTGTGTGCCTCGCCGGGCCCTGCCTCGCGTGCCGCTGTACGCTAGGGTCGACGACTGCCCTTAAACCGCTTTTCAAAT